ATACAATATAGTCAAATGAATGTTATGGCATTTTCACATAAGGATTTATCAATAACTATTTATAATAATAAAATAATTAAGAATTCACACGAGCTTGCATCACGGCCTACGATGCGGTAGACCGCTTAAGAATAAAATTTCTAAGCATTCTGCAAAATTTCCCGTTCGATTTGAATACTACAATATCTCGGTTAAACGCGATACCTACTAATGGAAGGCTCAAGTTAAAGCACTATGATTAAATGGCGGCTGCAATCATTGAATTTTGAGGTCAATTCGACTGGAATTAGATCGAACGTGAAATATCGATTCCATCATGCAAACTGATGGTCATGCCACTCTTATTTAAATTCTTCTGAGCTCATTTATTTCTTTAATCTTTCAGTTATTTTAAATGGATGGGATATTCTAATCTAAGAAAACAAGTCAAAAAGAAAAAGGGAGGGGAGAGATGGTATTCGTTTGTTCCAAAGGAACTCGATATTTGAAGTGATAAAATAATAGAAAGGGTTATTGTGAAAGTGAGATTCAACAAGGGAGGGGAAAATTAACGAGGGAGGGGAGAGATAGTATTAGTTTGTTCCAAGGAATTGAACTCGAAATTTGAGGAGATAAAATAATAGTAAGTGTGATTTAAATAGGTGAGGATATCTTATAGGATGAGGCCGGAAAAACAGTACGTACTTTCCTTGAAAATGGGCAAGTTAATAGACGGTGTAGGATATAGAGAATGCCAACTCGCTGGATCAAGTGTCGACCAGATTTTTTTACTGTGCGAGAAAAATGGAAAGAGATAAAAGGAAGAAATTGGAGGAGAAAATAATTGAGGAAAACACTTGCCCTTCTACTATTTTAAGAGTGATTATTTTGAATTTTTTCTCTAAATTAATGAAGGTATAAGAGCGAGCTGTAGACAAAAAATGCCGTGTTATCATATTGCGTTTTTATGCAGGGCCGACTGAGATTTTTGAGCACGTTCTAGAAGGATACCAAATATGATAAATGCAAAAGCTTTTATCTTATTTAAGGCCTTCAAGTATCCTCGATAAAGACTAATTTTAAGAAAATTGGCGTACAAAGGTCTCGACATTACTGAAGAAATCTTGCTGCAGACACTATAGTTAAAAAATATTTTAAAAAGCCGTATTATATAGTTTTCTAGTCGCTTTTTTCGGAAGGAAAAAATCAGGAAAAACGAACCGACAGAATTTAAGGCTCGCTAAGAAACCTCATCGTTTGTTGGAACGGCTAGAATAAATATACTCTTATTTGAACCAAGTATTTCAATTATTTTCATCCAGAAATGTTCCAGAAATTCGAAAAAAAAATCTTAATTCCTTTTTCGCGCGGAAAAAAGAACACAAAGGGACTTGCCACTTAAGATATTGGACTTTCTTTTAAAAATAATTGAAAAATGTGGGCTTTATTAGTTATATGGATATATATTAATTTAATTTACTTTAGGATAGAAAGAAGTATTACCCACTCTCCCCTAAAATTCCCCGACCTACCCCTCCCCCTTCCAGAAAGAAGAAATGCTACCATGAAACTTAAGAGCACCTTTGGGGCGACCTTATAAATGCAGACCTCATATCAGACTCTCGGCACCAGAAATAATTTCCCATCTATTTGATGTGATTTTTCTTGTTAGAAGGTTCCGGTATAAGCTTTTTCTTTTTCTTTTTTCTTTTT